TTTTGAGATGGAGTCTTGCTCTGTCGCTTAGGCTGGAGTGGAATGGCATGATCTCGGCTCACTGCAACCTCTGCCTTCCGGGTTCAAGCGATTCTCCTGCCTCAGCCTCCCGAATAGCTAGAACTACAGGTGTGTGCCACCACGTCTAGCTAATTTTTGTATTTTTAGTAGAGATGGGGTTTCACCATGTTAGCCAGGATGGTCTCGATCTCCTGACCTTGTGATTCACCCGCCTTGGCTTCCAAAAGTGCTGGGATTACAGGCGCATGCCACCATGCCCAGCTAATTTTTTTTGTATCTTTAGTAGAGACGGGGTTTCACCATCTTGGCCAGACTGGTCTTGAACTCCTGACCTCGGGTTATCTGCCTGCTTTGGCCTCCCAAAGTTCTGGGATTACCAGCGTGAGCCACTGCAGCCAGCCCATGCTTTTTATTTTTAATTATTATATTTTAAAAATTATTTATGTAAAAATAGAGACAGGGTCTCATATCGACCAGGCTGGTCTTGAACTCCTGTACTCAAGCAACCTGCCCGCCTTGGCCTCCCCAAGTGCTAGGATAACAGGAGTGACCCACCACACCCAGCCAGTTCATATGTTTGTATCCATAAATCATAGCATTATTTCGTATATTTGTATTATTTATTTATTTATTTGAGACAGGGTCTCATTCTGTCTCTCAGGCTGGAATGCAGTAGCACAGTCATGGCTCACTGCTGCCTCGCCCTCCTGGGGTCAAGCAATCCTCCCACCTCAGCCTCCTGAATAGTTGAGACCACAGGTGCGCATCACCACGTCTGGCTAATTTTTGTATTTTTTGTAGAGATGGGATTTCACCATGTTGCCCAGGCTGATCTTTAACTCCTGGGCTCAAGCAATTCGCCCACCTCAGCCTCCCAAAGTGCTGGGATTACAGGCATGAGCCACCATGGTTACTAAAGGGGGTGAACTGTTTAAGTCTCTCTTTTACAAATAAGAGAGAATTCAGTCAATAATTCGTCCAAGGGTAGCTCAGAATGGAACCATAATGTCAAATCTTTGCAAGTTCCTTCTCTGTTCTTCTGTTATACTCTATTCCTTTACTCGGCCCTTGAAACATTCACCTGTCATGATTAGCATTCCCAGTCACCACAAACTCCTAAGAGATAAATTGGCAAAGCCTATTCTGAAGCAGTAATTTTATCCTAAAAGCCACCAAACTCTTTAACATTTCTTCTGACTCCATGGAATGCTTTCTAAATTTATATTCCTGGCAGTATGAATGCATAGGTTTTTAAATGCAGGATTTGCCCACATTTAAAATGTTCTTTGAATATTTCATTGGCTGCGAATTCATTAGACTCTACCATGGAGCCCTGTGTGTTTCTATACATAAGGGCTCTTTCAGGCTGTTAATGCCAAGGGGCAGGTTTTTCTCATAGAGAAGAACTCGGGCAGCAAGGACAAAGGGGCAACAGGCCATGTGCTACCTCAACAAACAGCAGCAGCATTATGCAGTCACAACCTTCCCTTGTCACTAAGCAACAACAGAATTGACCTCCAGAGATTCTCTTTCCTGAAGACATCCTCCAAAAAGACAAGAGGGAAGTTTGCCTTTTCTGCTCCCTTCTTGGAAAGATGCAAAGTGCGTTAGTAGGCTCCTGGGTAAGAGTGCACTTTATGTTAATCCTGGCCCTGGCCCTCTGATTGTACCCAAAATCTGACTGAGTCATGACAGTGAAGTGAAGAGGTTTTCATCTGGCATCTAACCTGGAATAGGACCCTGAGCTTCCCACTTCCTCTCCACCATCTTGAGGTCACCCCTGGAGGCTGCCTAGTCTTCCTAACACTTTGCCCCCTTCCATGCATCATGGTCTCCTGCAAGCTAGTGGAAACTCCTAGTCCTCTAGCCACCCCATTTATTCCTAGTTAATTGTTTGAGTCACTCAAACTTTTGGAGTTTGGCTGCTCTCTAGTCTGGGAACATTTTGAGGGCAAATACTGTGTTTTTGTCCATCTGTATTTCCCATGCTCAGTCCCATGCCTGGAAGACAATAAAGGTTCGATAAATACTGTTGAACTAACCTGAATAGAGAGTGAGGGGTTTCTGACAGAGAAGGATAGACAGACAAAGTGATCCATGTCTTTGGATGGAAAGATATGAGGCTTTCTAGTCCTGTTAAATAGCCCATTGTCATGGCCAGAGGGCAGGCTTAGGACGGGTTCTTCTGCTCAGGGTTATAATTGTAGAGGGCCAGACACACCCATCCTCTCCAGGGAGAATTTAGGACAAAGAGGCTGGGCCATAGGAGTTCCCAGACATGATCATCCACAGAGTGTCCACGTAATGACATCAGCACAGTACAGCCCCTTTCTTGAACCTCTGATAGTTGCTTATTTCTGTCTCCTGACAGTTCCTCTCTCTGAAATCCTCTCCAGGCCAGGTGTGGTGGCTCATGCCTGTAATCCCAGCACTTTGGGAGGCCAAGGTGGGCAGATCACGAGGTCAGGAGTTCGAGACCAGCCTGGCCAACATGGTGAAACTCTGTCTCTACTAAAAATACAAAAATTAGCCGAGTGTGGTGGTGGGCACCTGTAATCCCAGCTACCCGGGAGGCTGAAGCAGGAGAATTGATTGAACCAGGGAGGCAGAGGTTGCAGTGAACTGAGATCACACCACTGCACTCCAGCCTGGTGACACAGCAAGACTCCGTCTCAAAAAAAAAAAAAAAATCAGCCTGGCATGGTAGTGGGCGCCTGTAGTCCCACATACTTGGGAGGCTGAGGCAAGAGAATGCCTTGAACCTGGGAGTCAGAGGTTGCCGTGAGCTGAGGTTGTGCCACTGTACTCCAGCCTGGGCAACAAAGCAAGGCTCTGTCTCAAAAAAAAAAAAAAACTGTGGGGAGAACAACAAAGGGGATTTCTTCTCCGGCTCTTTAGGGAAGGACCACACCCCTGATCAGTGGCCCTGCCCACAACTCTCTCCTCTGAATGAATGGCACTCCTTCCCTACACATGCATAGCCCAAGTGGGTCATTACAGCTGAGTTCAACTGTCCTAATGATGGATGAAGACACTTCTATACTGGCCCATCTCCAGGAGTGTCCTAACTCCTTAGATTCTTTCTATTCTGTCAGGAACTTCCAGAAGGGACTTCTGGTCTGACTTTCCTGGAACCCTCAGTTGGGGACCTGAGGTCTAGGACTCATGGTTGAGATTTGAGTGAGTTATCCTCATTCCTGTCTTGTTATAGCACAACAATGGCTTCTATGGGCACTACAGAAGCCAATTCAAGAGTGAAAGTGCTAGAGAATACCGCCTTGCAGCCAAGCCCCAGCCTCCAGCAGTGTTCCTGCAGCGATGTCAGGTACAAGGCAGACCTGAAGGCAGTGGGGGTGACTGGACCAGTTCTTGCCTCTCCCAGAACCCAAGAGCATCATCCCATCCCTTCCATGGCTGTATTGACACCTATCCCTGGGACGAGCTTTACCTTTCTTCTCTGAGATGTCAGATCTTTCCCCTACAGACAGGGTAGAAAAGAGTGAGTGCCAAACTGAACCGTCTTGCTCACTGCCCTTTCTAGATGGACAAAGGGTAAAGGCCTAGCTGGGGTGGGTAGCTACAGGCAGACAGCCTCTAGAACCCAGGAAGTAAGCTTTGAGTTTTGCTGACAACTATCTTCACATTCAGATTCCTTAATGCTAAGAAAGCCCATGGTCCATCCCACAGCCAGCTTCACAGTCCAGGGCCTTGGAAATTAGTAGGAGGCCTCCTCTGGTCAGGGAAGTAGTACAGGAGGCAGCTGGGTACTGACCTACACATTTGGCCAGGGAATACTGGAAAGGAGTGATGGCACAGGTAGCCTGGAGTGGCTATAACAGGCTTCTGGAGAACAGGAAAGGGATACAGGGCCATAGGCCCTTTACTACTTACAGGCCTGGAGACAAGGAAGGGGCACCGTGTATCATAAATCAGGGTCATGGCTGGGCAAGGTGGCTCATGCGTGTAATCCTAGCACTTCGGGAGGCCAAGGCAGGTGGATCACTTGAGGTCAAGAGCCGCACTCCAGCCTGGGCGACAGAGCGAAACTCCATCTTTACTAAATAAAAATAAAAAAAAAAAAAAAAAAAAAATAGGCCAGACACAGTAGCTCACGCCTGTAATCCCAGCACTGGGGTGGATCACCTGAGGTTGATAGTTCAAGACCAGCCTGACCAATATGGAGAAACCCCATCTCTACTAAAAATACAGAATTAGCCTGGCTTGGTGGCACATGCCTGTAATCCCAGCTACTCAGGAGGCTGAGGCAGGAGGCTGGCTTGAACCCAGGAGGTGGAGGTTGCAGTGAGCCAAGATTAGATAGTGCCATTGCATTCCAGCCTGGGCAACAAGAGCAAAACTCCGTCTCAAAAAAAAAAAAAATTAAACCGGGCATGGTGGTGCACACCTGTAATCCCAGCTACTCAGGAGGCTGAGGTAGAGAGAATTGCTTGAACCCAGGAGGCAGAAGTTGCAATGAACCAAGATGGCACCACCACACTCCAGCCTGGGTGACAGAGTGAGACTCAGTCTGAAAAAATGAAATAAAATTTAAAAATCAGAGTCATAATAGTAAAAAGCATACTCAGCAGAACTCAGAAGGTTATGTTTACAAAGGATTGCTTGTGACAGCCTCAGATAAAGGCAGTCCCACAAGCTGGTAGCAACCAAGTGGTTAGTACCACTGAGCAAAAGGGACAAGGGGGAGGCATGGCTTCTAGAATCGAGAAGGAGATAAAGGTATGGAAAGGGTCACCCTGACAGGAGCAGTAATCCTAGGTAGAGAGACATAGCCAGGTGGGAAGTGGCCTAGGAGGGAGCCAAGAGAAGAAACACTTCCTCTCTCTTTTCCTCCATCTCCTCCCAGGGCTCCCTGGTGGCCAGAACAAAGGGAGCGTAGTGTTGAGTGCAGTCAGGTCAGCCTCCAGAGCAACAGCTGGGTAGAGGAAGGCCCAGAAGGACGTGAAAGGGTGCCTGAAACAGGTACCACCCACTGCACCTTCTTGCTTCCCAGGCTTTTGCCAGGTCCTATTTGATCTGCCATCTGGATTTTCTATGAATTGCTTTCCCAGGCTGAGACTAGGGTCCTGGAGGCTGCTATTTTATGGAAACTGAACTTCCTCAGCATATGCACTTGCAAGGGCTGCCTGCTACAGCCTACCAAGCCAGGCCCAGATGCAGCTCCAGACTGTCAATCCAGGGCCACCTCCCTTTTGAGACTGATGGGATGTGGAAAGTACAGAAAGAGAAGCAACCCAGAGACTTCCTGTTGTATGTTTGTCATTGCCCTCAGTGGCAGCTCTCCTCCCAGAGATTGGAACATCCTATCAATCTGGTAAACTCATTCCTCAGAGGCCGAGCGCGGTGGCTCAAGCCTATAATCCCAGCACTTTGGGAGGCCGAGACGGGCAGATCATGAGGTCAGGAGATCGAGACCATCCTGGCTAACACGGTGAAACCCCATCTCTACTAAAAA